GAAAACAGTCTCTGACTGACAGACATGGATCTGTTGAGGCCTCAGGCTGAACACTCAAGGCTTTGATGGAGTATCTGATGCTGAACTATAAATGTGTTTAGAGAAAAAAAAGAAAGAAAATAAAGAAAGAAAGAGAGACAGACAGATCGAGAGCGACAGGAAGATGGATAATCTCAGTGCAAATCAGGCCATGATCTGTAAATAACAAAACCATCTCATTATAATCAGGCCAAGATCTGTAAATAAGCCACTTCACTGCATTGTCCAGTGTCTTTCTGAGTAAGTGGACCATCTAGGACCATCTAGGTTACATCCATCCCTAACTTTTCCCACCAAACAATAGAGGAACAAGTCTTGCTTGAAAGAATTTAGTCAAAATAGTCTGCTTACTCATTACATCTACTACAATCTCATTTTGAAACTCCAGACAGAATTTAGACTATTGCATTTGGCTCTGAGATGAGCCCCAAATCTTAGCTCTTTACTGAAAGTGAAGGAAAAGGCTAATCCTGCTCCTCCCCACGATGCTTTAACAATACCTCATTCGTGTGCCTCGCTCGGGGAACGAGACAATTGGTGTTGCCCCAAGGGTGGGCGGGGGTGGGGTGGGGTGTTGGGGGGTTAGAGGGCCTCCATGGATCTGGCATGCAGCCAAGGTCAACACCGAGCTGCTAAAGAGCTGAGTAATATGACGTTTCACAGAGACGCACATATATAGGGGGTGAGAGAGAGATAGAGAGAAAGAGAGAGAAAGATAAATGAGAGAAAGAGACATGGAGTGAGAAACACTAAAAAAAAATATGCTAAAATATAGCTTAAAAACATGCTGCAACAGATTGCTGACCGAAGAACCAAGACAAGCCAAATAATTTTTTATTCCACCCTCTTCAGCAATTTTGGCAATGTTTGTGAAGCAACATTGTCTTTTATACAAATGATACAGACAACAAGAAGTGCACTTACTATGTAATGGTTCCTACAATGTTATTTTTATTGTGATTTCTTATTTACATGTTCAAAGTCAGACCTTATTTAGCAAGAAACTGCACAAAAAGGCAAGAAAGCCAAAAAAAAAAAAAATCCTAACTCTCTTGGCCTGACCCTTCTGTGATTTTTTCCCCCTTACACACACACGTTCCCACACACTAGCACAAACACATACACCTCTGAACAAAGGTGCCATTTTCCTCAGGAAGGGTCAGCAGTTCTCTCTGTCAGACAGGCGCTTGTTCTTGGTCGGAGGCTGCCCAATCTCAGGCCGCCCTCCCTAGGTTCGGCCACTCCGGCACCTACACCCCCCGGCCCCCCGCCCCCTCGCCTAGGCCCCCACCACCCTGGAGACAAGCTCCCCATTGTTCCTACACCACTAATAAATGACAACTCTCCTGTTCAGACAAACTTTAGAGCCATTCTAAACTCACACACACTAGAGAGAAAGAAAGAAAGAAAGAAAGAAAGAAAGAAAGAGCACCAACAATGTAGAAGCAAATCACATAAATAGACGTTTGGTGGAAACATCCTCTTTCTCCATGTGCTGGATTTTACAAGCTGCTTGTTCACAGTAGCATGGCAAGAGCTGCTATCAATAGGAATGATTCATAACTGTCCCCCCTCCACTACCTCACAAATAGGAGTGGCTGATATGTCTGTATGATATCATCATCATCATCATCATCATCATCATAATTTCTGGGCATATTGTGGTATTCAAACAATGACAGGAGTCCTGGAGAGCAGAACTGGCTTAGTTTAACCAGTTGAAGTGTTGCACAGTATGTGAAATGTACAATCTGAAACAAAATCATGATAGCCTTTTAGGGCTATTAGTAGTTTTTGATATTTTTCAAGGGAATACCGTTTTGATGGTGCAATAAATAAATAAATAAATAAATGTAAATATGTATCACAAAAATGTCAAATACTGTTATATGTTTTACATTATTGCCATATTATACACCCCTACTCATAAATAAAGCAACTCACACTGTGCTTACTTTGAAAAAACTTATTAATCTTGTATAAACTCTAGCATTTCAGTCCATCTTAAGTTTCAGATCTATGCCCTGGTACTGAGCCAGTGCTTTGCTCCTCATCAAGCACACAGTTTCAAGCTGTTTCCAGATCTAACCACAGGTCACCATAAGGTCAGACTTCCCAGGGCTACTTCATACATGAATATACCCCCATACAAATGCCCCACAGCAGCTCAGAGAAGGTGAGAAACATGACAAATCAGCACCTTGCACCAAGTGTGTAAACACACCATTAACACTCCAGCGCCTCTGCTGTGTGAAACCTTCCTCCTCACTCTCTGAGGAGAGTCAGAGGCCAGGAAAGTCCAGTAGGTGAGATTTGGGGTCCACAGCAGTTTGCTAGGCTTCACAATGAGAAGACTGCTGTGGACATACATATGTAAATAACCTTGTAGTAAAACTCTGAGTACTAATAGCATGCAAAACACATCAATATTGAATTTTATTGCATCAGAACACGAAGCTGTCGGAAACAGCAATTTATCAAGTGTGCTGGTCAGCTGCATGCTACGTTTGTCATACTGAACAAGCGGTTGTGATCTCCAGTGCCACTTATATTAATATGTTGGTCAATGGTTTGGAATAGCTTTCCAAAAAAGGTCCAGAAGTTCCGACAGCTGCTTGGTGAGTCGTAGGTAATCTTTGGTGGCAAAGGAAACAGTATTCGAAGCACGTCTGAGCCCTGATGCATAACTCTGCTGTGGCTTACCACAGCTGTATCATATAACACCACAGTTGACTCCTTCAGTATGGCCACGCCACACATTCTGCCCTTGACAAGGCCCTTTTCAGACCTTTATGGGCCACTTAACCACCCAAACCACCCAAAAATCACATTTCCGGTACACTTTCCGCCCATTAAAGGCTTTGACAGCAAGGTCTATGAGCCTTGAGTATCACAGGCTTGTTAAGGGAACCCAATCCAGCACGACCCCTTCACTCTGTCAGACAGATGTTCCAGCTAAATTTGTACACCCCCACACACAGACACTTCCCGCTCCTGGTTTAAAGTGACACCAGAGGATGGAGGAGAAGAAGAGCGATGGAGTGGGATTCGGGGGGGCTGCACAAAAAAAAAAAGCCTTGGTGTTTTGTCAAGGCTTGCTCGCGGACACAAAGTCCGTCTTTGTCTCACCCCCGGGGCGGCAGATAAAGGAATTCTTGTGTGTCGGGGGGCTCTGACCGAGTTTATTTGACACTTCAGCTCCTTTTGTGTGAGCAAGTGTCCCACCGTCAATACCCGCCATGAGAGTCACTTGGCGTTAGACAGAGGGTCCCTCTTCAGTGGAGAAAGGGGGTCTTGTTCAGAGAGGATTTTAATGGAGGGGGGGTACACAGGGGGGCCAGATCGCCCTGCGCTGTACACAGACGCATAGTGGGGTCTCTGTCCACAGCCTTGACAATAGAGGGAATTCTTTACCGCTAAGGAACTACAGGAAGAAGGAGAGGAGGCCAAACCGGGTTCTTAAGACGTGTCCTTTTCCTCTTTACTCACATCTAGCTCTCCATCTCACTCTCCTGAACGGCAGTGGAGGCAGAAGCGTCCACTGCACTTCCTGAAAAAAATGCAATCCATTACCTGCCTCAGGCATTCAGGCCCCAAGGCAATGGCTCGACTGACAAGGGTAATTAATAATCAGCAAACACTAGTGAAAACCAGTCAGCATGCTGCTAAGTGACCCCTACTACTTCCCACCTATTACTACAACATCAGCAAACCTGAACACTGCATATGATTCTTGTCATCTGCAATACTTCACGCAAGTCATTATAAGGGTTTGGTCGTTTTAATGTACCACAAATGTTTTTCTAGCGTCTGAAAAGTTTATAGGAGCAGGGCTGCCCATGCAACCCACATATAGAAGCCGTTGCCCATGACAGCTTCCCTGTCCTCATGAGGCCATTCTACTGCCTTGTGCTGGAGGAGAATGAGGAGAGAGTGGGCCATTCGCACTACTCAACCCCTAAATCCTCTTAAGCTGGGTGGAAAGAGGTCTAATAGTGTACACTTAAGAGTTCAGTGAAGGGCGGGGGTGGGCTCCAGCGTGGAACGTCAGTACGGATCTTGCTCTTATGAGAACCGTCAGTGTCCAACAAAAGCAGCAGTGTTGCCTACCAAAACAGCGGCATCATTGTCTCCGTAATCCAAAAACGCATGGTGCATGATCTACTGTAGCTAAGAGACTGCGGCTTTGATAACCCTCTCTCACTCTCTGTGGGTGCCTTGCTCTGAGAGAACTGTCCTGACCACTCTGGTCCATCCAGCCCCAACAGAGGCCAGCTTTTACAGCTCTCCATGTACCCTTTGATAAACTGGCAGTATGAACAGGCGCCTTGTGTCTTGCATTTCACCAAGTATCAGTAGGAACCACATCATGTTACTTTAGTCACACCTGAGTGGTGTAACCATGGACGAAGTGCCAGGCCTCACTGACTGTGAATAAGCCTTTACCACAAGACCAACATTTACACACCTCCAGACATACAGGGCAGAACCTAACAGTCCTCTATTAAACACATCTGTAAGGGTATTTAAACCAGAGCACTGCTGGGTTTTCTGTGGCTAGTCTACAGCACTGGCAGTGAAGTACACCTGCTAGTTACTATTAAGTTACACGAAAAAAAGAGACACCAACCCTGGTTATGACATGACCCAGTTAACACAGTCCGCCTATTTGTCATGAAAAACACAAAACGTAATCAATATTTTCATTAAAGAGTCTCAATACCCTGTGTGTTACATTAAACCCTTGGTCGGCGCTGTTTCACTAACCTCCACTGAAGTCGAAGTAACGGTATGAGAGCACTGGCTTTGTGAACAGGTGAATGTTTGTGAGGCACACAGACTGAGGAGAACTCCAGGGCTGCTGGCTTACCTCAGGTTTAGTACTAAACAAGCACTTCATAAGCAATATTCAAATGGCACTTTAACCTAAGAGCCCTAAAAGTACGAGGAGTCGACATTACCTGTCCGCGTATCCAGCTGGAGTGTCATGTCATTGCTTTACTCCTCCGTCAGCCGTTACTCCATAGGCGCTGCATTTCAACAGTCAACGCTGGTGAGGTAACATCCATTTCTGGGGCGAGAGCCTGAAGAATGAGCCACAAAATCCAAGCAAGAAGCGGCATTTTAATCCCGAGAGAGCCAGAGAATTCCAGACTGAGAGCGGGCTTCGCCAGAGAGCCAAGTATCCACAGCGGGCTGGCTGGGAATCCCTTTGAAGAGACAGACAGACAAGGGTATCCTCCTCCTCCTCCTCCTCCTCAGAGTTTGTAAGAGTGCGCGCGAATGAACAGTAATCTTCATATAGACATCCACCAAGTCAAAATCCACAGAAGGTCTCCGTGACATGAAAGAAAGCATTCGTAAAAACGGCAACATTTTCTCCATGTTCTCCACGTGTGAACCTCCTGTAGTAAAACCGCCTAAAAGAGTATCCAGTGAACGTTTACAGGTTAAAAACACCAAGGACAAACTCTTGAGCGGGAAAAAAATCGCAAAAACAGAGTAAAACCTAATGAAAATCCAAACGCTGTGCTGTAGTAAACTCCTCGCTCAGCTCCACACTGACAGACTCGCAGCTCGCGCTCGAGCGCAGCGCTCGGAATCCCACTCATTCGAATCTGAGGAGCTGCACGTGAAGCCATCTGCCGAGGTCACCTGACTCATACACGCACAAAGGAATGCTGGGAAATGTAGTTTCTTGACGGGTTGTCGAGCTAGTACAGTTTTTTCACACTAAATTTAAACATAAAACGAAAGACTATGATCTGTTTCTAAATATTAAAAACACTATACAACAACATGTATTTCACGCTCCCTCACAGCGCCACGTGCCACTTTAAAATATACCCCAATTGTATCCTGCCCTCCTGTTATCTTCAAGTCTAACTTGAGGTCAATTTGTTCCCAGCAATTTAAACCTCTAGAAAATTATTATACCCAAGTATATGTGTACTTTGTTTCTTTGGCAAAAAAAGATGTCAATCATTTTAGAGCCGTTAAACATTGGCCTCAAATTGACCCCAGAGATAATAGGAGGGCTGGATTATTAGGCTGCATGTTTCCACCAAATATTTGCAGACTGCTAATTTAAGTTTCAGTGATTTTTATTATTAAGAGTATTAAACCGTATTTTTCCTACTATATCAACATAATAACGTTGTTTAGGTTATCAATTATTATTAATGCTTTGTTAACAACTTAATAATAATGTGAGAATAAACAACTGTGCTGTTTTTCTCATTGAATTTGCACAATTTAAAACGTTTCAGTGTCACAGGAGCATGCAGGGCATGTAGCTATTAGCCCCGTGCGAGCTCCTCCATAGCGTGTGAGCTCCTCGCCTAAACAGTGTGAGGAAGATAATGATCTGCTGTCGTAACAGGGAGACAGAAGGGTGTCGGTGCTTTGAATCACCTTCTCATGAATGCTCTGCTTGTTCCTCTTACCTCACTCGTCTCACTCACCTCCAGGCTCGCTTTTATTTCTGGAATCTGAAAGAGTTCAAGCCACAGAGCGAGAAAACCAGGAGTGGAGCACGGACCGGATTCACAAGGTGGTGGAGCAGTTTCGATCAGCAAGTGAAAAGGGATTTGATAGCATATTTCCTTCCAATGTTACGACTATACAGTGTAATGTGTTCCCTCTCAATAATAGAAAATCAATTCGATCAGTTGTATTCCAGTGTTCCTAAAATAAAATATAGACACTTCTCAATTGTGTATTATTGATTTGATCAATACAAGAAAATTTTACAATTACATTTCAATTCAGAATAAACTCAGAAATCAGATTGTCGCTAAACATTCGAATGAAAAACCTAACAAAATAAACCTAATAGCTATCCTCTTTCCACTTTGATCACAAAACAATAAAGTGGATTTCTTTTTATGAAAATAGAATTTAGAATTGATCAATATGACCCAATGTATTGTTACCCACATTATACCCACTGTATTTGGATACATGCAGTTAAGTACAAACATTCGTATATATTACAAAAAGTGTAATAACCTGTGGAACTACCTTTGATCTTAATTTCCTCCCTATTGATTCCACAGAGTTTTGTCCAACTCTTTTCTTGACTCCAGTGAATATTACCCAACATCAAGGAATTAGCACATTAAATTAGTTAACATAGGGTGTTCATATATATTTGGAAGGGTAATGCAGATGCCTTAGGATTGTTTTCTAATCCTGATCCTGTTTCCCTGCTCAAAATCATCTACTTTTACCACATGAATGCCTTAGTAATGAGCTGATGAGTTGAGTTAGGTGTGTTGGAAGAGGAGAATACATTAAACTGATGAGACTAAAAATTAGGAAACACTGTCTTGAGGCAAGACGTTAAGTTCATCTTAACAGTTGAATTATTTTTCAAAAAGTTTCCATAGAATCATATCACATCAACACATTCTCCATCAAACTAAAGAACTATTTCACCATGTAAAGAGCCCTCCTGTTTTGGAGAAAGGTGAGCATACTTGTCCAGTTTTTCTAACTAAATAAATCAAAGTTGTATTTCTTCCATTAGCCTCTTTCCAGTGTTCATGATGAGCATCACCAGTCAGACTACTTCTGGTGAGCTGTTTTATACCGTAACCAGATGTCATACCATGTCCAGATGTCTTTGTAGAGCTCTGAGCAGTCAGAACTAAGACGAGTTCACTGATGGATCTAAATGCATGTGTTTCTGAGCAAATCCCAAAACAGGAAATTAAAATGGCATCAAACAGGGCATCAAACACTGCACTGCTGAACAGATGGAATTGAAATGAAAGCAGTTGCTGTTCTCAGTACACTTGTGGATCTATCTCTTGTACCTGAAGGCCTGAAATAATAGTCAGTGAATGAAAATGGATGATAAGGCACATGTAAGTTGCCCTCTAGATGATAAGTCAAAATACACTAAATATGACATAAACTTAATGGAGAATGTTAAACACATTTCACCTACTGCCTACTATTCCTATACCCTACTTTTTCATCACATGCTTCCCTCCATCTACAAAGCAGAATGAAACAATCCTTCATTCCCTGATCCATTTCTTCTTTTAGCAACCACCTTTCTTGGCCCTTCTCCAGTGCAATCCAGGGGTACCTGAATTGCACGCGATTCTGTCAATTGCAGGTACTTGATAGCTTTCTTGTGTGCGCGGGTTGAGGAGTTGTCAGAGATTTCTGCGCATAGCATTGCGTGACTAGAGCCCCGGACGAAAACACAAAGACATTGTTTTCAGTGATCGTTCTCTCTTTATTGTAACTCAACAGCATTCCTGGCTTGCATTCCTCAGGCACTGCTGCTGCAAAAGTTTTTTTTTTTCCTTTTATAAGGAGGAAAGTGGGACGTCTTGCAGATTTTGTGCCCTTTTAACTTATTATTTTGGGCCATGAGATATCACATTCCTGTAACTAAGATAAATTATTTCACTAATTTTCATTACCTGTGGGCCAGATAAAAATGAATAATCTGATGACCCTTGTATATTAATTTATGACATATATGTGTGTATATGTCATACATTTCTCTTTTTCTCCAGAGAGAAATGTCTCTGTATTTTGAAGATGACTTTTTTCAACTTGTATAATATATATAAATATATATATAGAAAAAACCCAATTCCAAAAAAGATAAAAACAAATGTAAATAAAAACAGAATGCAATGATTTGCAAATCTTATAGACCCATATTTTATTTTATTTTATTTAGAAAACATATCGGACATTGAAAGTGAGACATTTTACCATTTCATGAAAAATATTACCTCATGTTTAACTTGATGGCAGCAATGCATCTCATAAAAGTTGGGACAGGAGCAAAAAAAGGCTAGAAAAGTAATAATAAAAAAACAGCTGGAGAAGAAATTTGCAGCTAACTTACAATGACTGGGTATAAAAAGAGTATTTTAGAGAGGCAGAGTCTCTCAGAAGTAAAGATAAGCAGAGATTCACCAATTTGCAAAAAACTGCATCTAAAAATTGAGGAACAATTTCAGAAAAATGTTCCTCAATGTAAAATTGTGAAGACCATCTACAGCACATAACATCATCAAAAGATTCAGAGAATCTGGAGAAATCCCTGTACACAAGGGACAAGGCCGAAAGTCAATATTGGATGCTCCTGATCTTCGGGCCGTCAGGCAGCACTGCATTAAAAACAGGCATGATTCTGTAGTGGAAATCACTGCATGGGCTCAGAAGCACTTCCAGAGTCATTGTCTGTGAATACAGTTCGCCGTGCAATCCACAAATGCAAGCTAAAGCTGTATCATGCAAAGAAGAAGCCACCTGTCAACATGATCCAGAAACGCTGCCGTCTTCTCTGGGCCAAAGCTCATTTAAAATAGACTGAGACAAATTGGAAAACTGCACATATGTATGCATGTATATCACCCGTAACAAGTTTCTTGTCTAAATTTGTTACAAAGAATGTGTGTTAAATATTGCTAAAACATTGTACTTAATGTAACCACAGTTTGCTATGTTCATGCTAATGCATTTTAAAATAGTTCAGTCAGCACCAATTTAACGTTTGTCTTGTTTCTCATTCACCACCCTTGTCACAGCAAGGAACGTCCTGCATTCTTCTGTTGCTTATCTCTCTCACTACAAAACCTCAGTTGTGTGTGTATGTGCGTGAGAGAGTGTTGGAGGAAGAAAGAATGAAAGAAAATAATGAGGAAAGAGAAAGAATGTCAGTCTTAAAGGATGTGGGTTTAACACCTGCAACAGTATATTTCTGTGAGCATGTCTCCAGCTCTCACCCTTACAGAAGGTTTAAGGTTAGGTATGTGTGAGTGTGGGAGCGCCAGTATACACTCAAATGCCTTCCAGATTGGGGTGGAGGATGCAGTAATCATAACCAGTGAACTCCCCCAACTTTGGTGCACATTAACACGAAAATAAGGAAGAATGCATGTGGGAGACCAGAAGAAATCAAACTGACTTGGACGAAAAGAAAGAACCAGCTGTACAGCCAGCCACACAAATTGCTAGACACTGCAAGACCAATACAACAGGAGGAGCATGAGAAGGCTAGAAATGGTACCAATCTGATACCCAGGATCAGTATCAGGTCGATACCAGCCAAAATTGTTAGATCGAATATCAGAGAAAAAAACAAATCAAAACTGAAATCATTGAATTTCTGGTAAAGCAACATAAAATGAAGCAAACTAGGTCATATCATAACAAAAGTAGCCACATGTCGCCTAATGTTAATATAAGCATGTGTAATTCCTTTATTTTTTACATTTTGGACATTTGGACAAATGCATAGTTTCTCTTTGAAAGAGTTTAACTGAATAAAAAAGCTGATGCTGATATGTTGACGGCTATGCACATCCTCCTATCTGTTGAGCATTATACTTTTAGATTACCAGGTTAAGTGAAGCGCTTCAATTACAATTAGCTTGTTTAAAAGCTTAGTTGTTTTTAATACAAATAGAAAAAACTGAATTGGCATCAGACAACACATCTGGGTATGGACAAGAAAAAAAGCGGAAAATTAAGTGGTACCATGCCATCTTTAGTGTGGACCCAACACAGCTGGGACAGCTTATAGTCCACCAAGCACATTGCTTGGAGTCACTGACTCAAATCAGACAATC